AGTAAGTGCCCTCAATAAGTCTTTGTTTTACTTTCAGATAATATGACTCTATTAGTTTTCGCAAATGGTGTAGATACGTGGTAAACGCATTTAAAATTTTGGGTTAAAACTGCAACAATCTTTGCTGTCCAGTATTTTCTTTACAATTTACGCACTCAGGTGGAGCGATTCTTCGTCGCACAGAATAACTAATTTTGCGTGTACCTTCCTAATAATTTTTTTTTCTTAATAATTTTAAAATATTATCAAGCCCTTGATACAGGAGATCGGACTCAACAAAAAAAAAAACTACAAAAATTCCTGGTTATTCTTCCGCCGCAAGCTACATTTGCGAAAAAATTTCATTTTTTACAGCTGTGTATACACTTTGATCTACATATTTATGTACGTATAAGTACCTCAAAAAGTAAAACGAAAACAGTTATAAACTTAATTTTGGTTACCGCTGTTGATGCTTAAATCGTCAGTTCGCCTAATGTTACAAAATCAAATTCACCTTCTTTCACACGATATCTCATAAAAAATGTGTGCGGTTTCAGTTAACTAAAATTTTGATTATAATTATTAGTGTTTAGATAGTCGGCAAACACGACACATGCCTATGCTACTTGCGCTATACAATTAGATAAAAGTGAGGTTATGTTACAGCTAAAGCACAGCAGCTGTTTAAGTTAATTTGTGGTGAAAATTTTACAAGTTTAAAAATAAAAAAATTAAAAAAATCGGGAAAAGCGCAAAAAACGGTCAGGTCTGCGCCCAAGTTAAGTTTTAATAAAAATGTCGATAAGTTTGTCGGCTTTTGGAATATTTTTATAAAATTTGCTGCATACAAAAAAAAACTCTGCACATGAAGCTTAGTAAATCCTCAAACTCGCCGAAGCTTTTTTAAAAAAAAGAGTGTTTAAAAAAAATCGCCTTTAGACTTATTGATCTGAAAACTTGGGAAAATATAGACAATTGCATGCGCTATGAAATATGTATATATGCAAAAATTCTATACTTTTTTATTTTTTGTTCATTCATAACTTTTTTCAATTAACATTTTAACAAAGACGATGTTAGTCCGAATTTCAAACTTTGTACAAAATTTAGCAAAATTCGACAAATTTTCATCAAAATTTCGAAATTTTAATTAGATTTCTAAGAAACCTTTGAAGTGTGCAATTTGATTTTAGTATAATGAAGTTAAATTTTGAAGTAGATAGGACTTACCGTTGGTTGCGTAACACCGTCACAAAAAAGTTTAACTGGCTATAAAACTGCATACCAAAATAAAAAAATTTGGAAAATTTGATACAATTTTGTTTCAATTTGGCGAATTTTCCAATTTTGTATGTGAAGTTTGAAATTTGATTACGAGCTATACTTACATAAAAAGAAATATATATTAAATAAAAAATAATAAATATTTTCGCCACAGTACATACATATGTATATGTACATATATGTTTTTCACCAACTTATATGAGTATGCATGTAATATATTTCTACATTTTATTAAACACATAATTAACAAATAAGCAAAACCTTTACGATTATTTTACCTCGTTTTACAGCAAAAAAAAAGGAAATTTCTACATTTATTGGCGAAAGCGAAGGAAATTATAAAGTAATATTCACTTTGCTAGTAATTTACATACATACATACATATGTAAGTGCATACATACATACATATGTATGTATATTTGCATAAGTATGTAAGCATGTGTACTTACATAAAATGCGAGGTAAAAAGTGTAATTACTTTTAATTATGCACCTAACGCACTGTGCTTACATTATAACTGCCGTGATTTCATTTTTAAACTTTGTATGACAGTTGGACGACACATTACTTTATAACACCCATTATGTTAGGTTTTAAAAAAAAACAAACGAGAAAATGCGCGCACTAATTTGTCATAATTACTCGGTACTTACTGATTTTTTAAGTAGACTTTCTGCTTATTGTTTGAAAAAAATTTTCATTTATTGTTTAGAATTTTTTATTTTATGCTACGTATTTAGGGTCTATTTAATTTTAGCTCATTTAATTTTACATTATTTTTTTTTTTTACTGTGATTTAATTAAGTTTAATTGTGTTTCCATTTGCAGTATTTATTTCACTTTTTTTTCTAAGTTTTGTAAGTTTTTGTTGGTTGTATTTAAGTGACGTTTTATAATAATTCAAGCGACACCAACATTCACTCAAGGTTACCGCCGCGTTCTATATAAATAAATTATTGATAAATGATAGAATTTACATACTCGATTTAATGGGCGTATCAAATGGCCATGCTGTTGTTTTTTATTTATTTTTATTACTTTGAATACAAATAAGCAATTTTTTTTTTTTGAAATTTCGTGTGCTCTTCTAGATTAGAATCTAGCCTATTTAATCAATAATTGCCTTTTTCGAGCTTATTTTGAAACACTAATAGCCAGTTTCACGAAGGTAATTTAAGTTAAAAATATTTTTTTTTTTATTTGAATTTAATATGAAAACTGACAGAAGGTAGTCAGTTGTGGAAAGTGATTTTGACTTATCGATAAAGGTACTAAAATGAAATGACTGAAAAATAACAATCTATTTCTTTCGATTTTCAATAATTTTTCGCAGGTTTCGCCGTTTTCGAGTAAAAAAATCTTTATTTTATGTCCAGAACTGGTTTTTTATTACTTAAGTTTAATAAGTTTTTTTTTTTTATTGTTTATGGGCGGTCGCTTTGGTGAGTGGTGCGTACTACCACTCCGTAGTTTTTTCTAACAGCGGTCGCCCTTCGAATGTGTTTCTGCCATGAAAAAGGTTCTCATAAAATCCATCCGATCCGTCCGGGTCGGCATAAAACTGAAGGTCCCCTCACTTCTGTAAGAAGATCAAGACGCACACCAAATGGAGGTGAAGCTCGGCCAAACACTTAGCAAAAGTGTAAACGCCAAAATATTATTATTAATTTTTTATAAAAATAAAGTTCATTCTTTCTTTAACAAATTTCAATGAAACTTTGTTGATATTTTTTAATAAAAAAAGTAATAATTTAAATTAAATAATAAAAACTTGCCAATATGTGGCTGTCGTATAGTTATGATAAGCACTATACATGTGGGAGCACAGACTTTTCTTACTTAAACAGACTTACTAACAGACTTAACTAACTTAAAGATGCAGCTTTAGGATAGAATACGACCCTGGGTCCAATGCGACCCTGAATGCAATGCCGCTAGTTTACTTAAAAATTCAACTCTACAACTAAAAATAACGGAGTTACAGTTACTTTTTGGAAGTAAGCGAGTATACAGCTTAATTAAAATACCGTTAAATATCAGTTTTAAAACTAAGTAACTTTTGTGCCACTAAGTACTTTAATTAATACATTTTAAATATTTAGTCAATAAACACTTTCGTTTGTACCGCTATGTACTAGTGTTATTCGGCATCCTACATACATACATATGTATGTAAACATATATAATATATTAAAAAAAAAACGACAAAATATGAGATAGTAGTTCCTTATCAATGCCACGCGCTTGTCAAATACATGCTTACCTAAAGTTTCTTGTCCAATCCTAAAAGCAGGCAACAAATTTGTATACTGGTAAATTTCTTGTGGAATTCTACGACTATAGAGATCGGCGGTTTGGCGTAAAAAATTGCGCTTGTTTATCGGTCTGTTAGCCCACATGCCTCTCGACACTGACGTCAAAAGCCGCTGATGGACGTCATAGCGGCCAACCAAGCCTCCAGATGAGAATAAATTAGACTGTCACTTTGAATTTTACCAGCCCCAATGTTTGAACACCTTCATTAGCATCGACATATTTCGTTTGTTTTTTTATTGTTTTTTTTCGCTTATTTGCTGTTAGCAAGGCAGATTGCCAGAAATATGTGTATACTTAGTACATTTCTGAAGATAATAAATATTTTTTACAGTAATGTATGGGTGCGTGTAAACTTGCATGTTTATATTTTTTATTGAATGAAATTCGCATAAAAAAAATCAAGAAAACCCCACCCAACAAATGTGGTTTTGAAATTGAATTAGGGAGCTCACAAGGTGTTGTATACTGTCGTAAACTTTAAAAGCTTAAAAAAATGTTTAAAGGACTTCAAATTACAACCAAGTATTTTCTAACACTGTGACAATTTATAATATAACTTTCATGGTACCTAGCGATTGCCCTTCATATACATACATATTTTTAGCCGTTTAACAACACCTTTTGAACTCCCTAGAATAACATAAATAAAGAGGTAAGTTAGCAGAAATCTATATAAAAACTTACCGATGTGCGCCTTTATGTACGCAATTAACTTTCAAATGAACTCCAATTAAATAAATAATAGGCTAGAACTAAAAATACGCCAAAGTCACCAGCAGAGAGGTGATCGAGTACTATGTATGTATGTATGTACATCATATGTATTAGGTAGATTGACTCGGTTTTTCCAAACCGGTTTCCACCGGTTTTTTTTTGCATATCTATAGGCGTTTTTTTTGAAATCTTAATTTTTCAAATATCGGATAAACCGGATTTTTTTTAATATAACCAACCAGTTTTTTCGTTTTATACAAATCTTGACCTCTAAATAAATGTTTTGAGTTTTTCGAAGGGTTCGGGGATGAACAGTGTATCATATTTGGCTCCAATAAATGAATGTTTGGCACTTAAACGTTTTCTAATTGTTTGCTGGAGCTTCTCCTCCAATTCTGGTTCTGCTCCGAAGAAGTTTTTTTATGGCAGAAGGATACTCAGAGGTTTGCATAGTCTGCCAAGGGGCGACCGCTATTTGGAAAAACTGTTTTTGATTTTGCAGAAATTGAACCATGCACCTCCCGAGTGGCAGTAGACATATCTAAGCACTCGGTTACGGCGACAATTCCATTCCAATTCCAATTCAATTCCAAAAAAAAATGCAACGAATTATTAAAAAAAGTTAAAATAAAACCAAACGTGAATTTTTCCCTGATTTTTTATTTGTATTAGTTTTGATCTAAAAAAACTTTTGAACTTATTTTGCTTTGCTCTTTTCGAAATAAAATCAAACTGTTAACAGTTTTATTGAAAGTTATGGTCATTACTTCATACCAAAAAAAGAATTTTCATTGTAGAAACCTATCTAAAATAAAACCGGGTTATCGGGCTTATGCAATTTTTCGAATAACTCGGAAACCGGTTTTGGGAAAAAACCGAATAATCGCAAACCGTAGTATGTATGTATGCATATACGAAAAAAAAGTGTAACTACACTTCATACATTCACACAAACTTAAATGCAAAACAGCTATTCTCGTTTTTATTGCAGTCAATTATCAGTTCAAAGGTTCAATGGACAAATGATAATGCCAACTAATAATAGGCTATAATACAAAAATTATAATAAAATAAAATAATATAACACTGTTGCATACTTACAAAAGCTATTGTGAACCACACTATAAATCATTATGGGCAATGGTAGTTGTAGACACTTTCTACAATCTTAAAGCTTCTACTTTTATGGCCTCAGCTGTATAACAGATATTTCTTTTGTTACAATTACATACATTTACCTTTATTTATTGTTAAATACATATTTATTTCTACTTATTTTTTTTTTAATTTTATTATACATTTCCACTTTCTTCTCCTCCTTTCTTCCAGCGTCAGTACATTTGCTGCAACTCCCAACGATTCTACTTCCATGGCACCATTGCAAAGTCACGCTGAAACGCAAAGTGTCACAACGTTAAATTTGCACGAGAAAGACAGCACCGCCTCGCCGTTGACGTCGATCGGCAGCAATAGCAGCAATTCGAACAGTGCACAGAAGCAAAAGCAGCTGCAGCGTCATCAGCGTAACAACTCCAATCAAAGTGATTACTACACCGCAGCCTATTCGGCGACAATATCGGACAGCAACGGCCGTGGCGAAGGGAGGTGAGTACTTACTTATGTACATCCACCCCAAGATTATTGAGATTAAAAATATGTATATACATATATATGTGATTTGTTGTCTGCTTGAATGATAAAGTGGGCGTGGCGAAAAGAATTTAAATCCAAGGGCTTAGTATAAAAATTGTGCCGGTAAAATAAATCGTTAGAGGAGTGCAGTGAAGAAAGACATAAACAAGTAATTTTTAGCAAAAAAACCGACTTAAAAAAAAATATATATATATATATGTATCATAATCGAATGATCGGATCTAAACTAGATTAGTGTGGGACCACCTCTGAGACACTTCCTTTCCGATGCAAAAAGAATTATCTAAATCGGTTGACGTGGTCCAAAGTTATGCGGTAACATACATAAAACAAAAACAAAAAAAAAAATATTCCGACGGACTGATAACCTTCTCTTTTTTTGGAAGTCGGTTAAAAAGCATAAAAATGCCTGTTATCCGAAAACAAACATAATCGGTAGGGGTATATCTTATTAGTTTTGTTCTATTTAATTACGTAGAAAATAAATGCGACAGTGTGCGAGGTTCTGTTCCAAATTTTATTTTTATACCGGAACAAAGTATTGGCACATCAAATATTTCGCAATATATGCAACAATTTTTCTTCTAATATTTTTCCGTCAATTTTGTATAGAAATATGGTTCATTCCACAACCAAAATCATAAAAATATAATTCCTAAACTTAGTGCAAAACTCGGCAAAATTCAGCAAATTTGCATGCAAATTTTAAACTTTTTAATCAGATTTTTTAGAATTTTTTAGAGTATGCAGATTTGTAGCCCAATCAATTTTATTATAATAAAGTACAAGTTTTTAATAGTTAGCAATTACCGTTGATGTTTGATTTTTTTTCACGCAGTCTCCTGCAAGACAGGGCTCAACACACTCGCTCATTTCGTCGAGAAGGCAAATAAAATATGATCGGAAGAACCCACATGGGGGACGACTTGACAAATCTGGTCCAGCCTCGACGAGCAAAAAAAACCGACAATGACTTCTGCCGAAGTTGCTGCTACGGGGACGAAATTGAGAGTGTGGAAAACTATCTCTGTCACTGCCCTGCCCTTTTGTGGGCCTCTTTGTCTATCTGGCCGACCTAAGTGAAGGACGTATTCATGAATTCTCGCGCTTTCTTAACCTAACCAACTGGTTCTCTATTTGTAGGTGAACAGTCGGGTTCGAATTCGTGCTCTGAATTTGTATCAAAACTGAATCCGAGGTGCCTCTCTCCTAAATTGTATGAAAGCAGCCGCTTCAACCTAAGTGTGTTCAGTTTACATCACTAGCTTCTGTTTTTATCCAAATGAAACTTCATCCGAACTTTTGCGAATGGGAGCCGTTATAAGCGAAGCTTTTTGGCCTCGGCCCAAATCGACAGACGGTTGTAGTGCTAAAAAAGGATAAAAAGTCAGCCGACTCCTTCAGTTCCTTCTCGGGGTCTCTACGATGGGACTTAACCATCAAATTCGCGTTGGGGTCTGACGTTTCTTGATGATTTTAATTCAATTATAAAGCTTCGGCTCGGTTTCTAAGTATTAAAACTTCTAATTGGCTGATGTGTAAAGGCTAAAGTTTGCAATCGGTAGAAAAAAAACGTATTTACATTATTATAAATTTCAGAATGTGTAATTAAATGCCGCATGACCTTGCGAAAGCGCCCAGAGATCTCCTTTAATAAAAAAAATAAAAGAATAAACTCGAAGATACCCGCAAGTGTACCAACGATTTTTTCTGTTTACAAAGTTTATCAAGAAGAAAAATACGCAATAAAGAGACAAACCGTAATATATTTTTTTTTTTAATTTGCAGCTTTTAATCCCGTACCATGTGACCAAGTCAATGCGAACAAGATATCCTCAAACCGTCAAAATAAAAAAATAAAAACAAATGAATAATTAAACACTCTAATAAAACTACTTTCTCATTCAAATTCTTTGATACCATTTTAAGATAACTTATCTAAATAGTATACTGCATACATAGTATGTAAATATATATGCACAATGCAAATATTTAGTAGCGCACTGAGCTTTAGCTGGCATTGTAGTAAACTTTTTATCTTTTAAGATATTTGTAGCTTTATCAGCATCTTAAATACTCATTTAAGAAAAGAGAGAGCCGCCTACTTGATGTGCATCTTTTAGCCTCAACAATGATGCCGAGACATCGTAGTTATTTACAAGTTTAACAACTTATGAATTCTTCTACATACAAACCGGCATCTTTGCGGAGCGTAGACCGTGCGCGATTAACTTGTCATAGCAAGTATCTGAAGAGGAAACATGTAGTAATAATGTAATTAAAATCATTCTACGCCAAGTGGACATTTGAAGCATTTATGTCGCATTTAGTGTTGATTAATTAAAGCTTAAAAATTACCTACAACTTTTGACAGGCAGTATGCAGATGCCGATGCTGGAGAGTTTAATGCATTTATTCTGATCTAAATTGCTAAACTTTTAAATTTCACTCCTCCGTGCATTAAAAGGCAATTTTTTGTGCGATTGATCAATTGGCTGGGCTATCTATAGTATATGTGTAGTTGGTAGTTTTTTCTTTATTGAGATCGATAGGTATTCAGCATTCTACGTTGGCGATTGCTCATTCATGGTGGCCGAAAATGCCATTGATTTGCTTTGTTCAAAAAGCAATAGGACGAAACATACTTTTACACAAAATAGCGGAAAAAATTTGAATAAAAATTGTTGCATATATTGTAAAAACCAAATTCTCTGTGCCAATACTCTAACCACACACGACATTAAGTATCTTTTCCCTTGCCAAAACAAAGGTCATTGGACAATCTATTCTAAATCTAAATAACATGAGTTTAGCCTATATTTACGAAAGTACATAAAATGCACACCGTCTCCAAAAGAGTCACAACTCAAAATTTGGCATTTTTGAAATTATACGCTAAAAATGTACACAGAGCTTTTATTTACCTTTCAGCTAAAACTGGAGCAAATTTTTATTATAATTTGTTAAAAAAAAACCTAAAGTGAAGTCGCCCTTGCCCATATGAATATCATGTGTTAGGAAATAGTTTTTCGCATTTTCTGACAAACGTATTATTTTGAGTTGTGACTCTTTTGAAGACGGTGTGCGATATGTACATACATACATACGTCCATAAATTTTTCAATGTGAAAACGTTATTTTTTAATTATTATTATTTTTTTGATTGTGTGTAATTAGACAGGTGAGTTCTAAACTAGATACGTACGTACAGTAGAATCTCGAAAAAGTTAACCGAAATGTCGCGAGGGTATTTAATTTTTTCGAACTACATATTAACTTTTCCAAGCGGTTTTCAAAATGAAAAAAAAATATATATATATGTAATAATAACATAGTTTTTAGGAATTAATACGCTAAATTTATGACAATGACAAAGTCTTCATCTTTACGAAAAATAAACTTGGATTTAATGTTTACCAGCATATTCTAGTTTATAGAGAGTTGTCTCGTTTGCTTCTTCATATGCGCTCGCTACAGCCTTCAAAATATGATGACGTTAGATACATCATAATTCAACGCCAATCGATTTTCCTAAATACCATCAATTATTATTTTTTTTCAATCTCAGCTCTTTGATGTAGATTTAATCTGATTTGCGACGACTTTTTCTCCCTGTTTGTTGACATTCTTAAACACACAAACGATACACAACTAACAAATTCAAACGCTCACAACAAAAAGAAATTCGGAGAATAGCCGTAAACAAATTGAGATCGGGCTTGTTTTTGTTACCAAACAAATCGTGGGTTTAAAAAATTTATAAGCTCCCAAAAGTTAACACAAAATTTAACTTTTTACGTGCACGCTGAAATTCGGTTAACTTAGCCGAGCGATTAACTTTTGCGCGAGTTAATTTTTACGTGATTCTACTGTATTTATTTGACACACAGACATACTCACTTATCCACTTACATAGCTTATCATATTTGTAGCTAAAAATTCCCTCGAAACCCTTCAATTGAAGGAATGTCGAAAATTGTGTATTTATGCTTCCAATTTATCGTCAAAAATAAGTCTTTATTTGCACACCTGGTTGTTTTATAGATAAAGCACTTATCTATTGAATTGGCAGTTTTTTTTTTATGTGCGAACTCTAAAGGGAATCACTGTAATTGTTACATATTTATACGCACAGGTGTTCACCAAAGCGATAACAGTTTTGCTGATTAACATATGTACATATGTACATACATAATTGTTTGACGGCTGAGGGTTTGTGCGAGAACTGCATATGTATGTATGATCCATGAGAAGCATTGGTGCTCTCAGCTTATTCCTACATATTTTTTCGAAGATATTGTGGTCACCCGATGTTTATAATAAACAATTACTTTGTATACCCCTATCAAATATATACAGCTATCAAACGCTTATTATCAGCTATAATTCACGGGTTAATTTTTTCCGCTTATGTAGTACATCCACAACGTTCGTACTTAAGGCTACCACTTACATACGTCCCTTATGATCGTTTCAAAATTTGATTGCTTCAATTTGATACATAGTTTGACGTCAACGTGACATATATCTTCTCATGTATAAAGCGGATTGTCACTAGTGATATTTCCAAAACACTCGTGATTCAAGGCAAAGTTAATTAGGAAAAATAATGAAAAATCATATGACGGCTCGAGCGAATTTCAACGAAATTGCTTGACAATTAATATCAAACGATCTGCACAAAAGTACACCAATGTCGATCGGTTAAACTCTTAAAAGTGGTCTCTTAGCTTGTTCTTTACGGATGGACAGGCTCCGAGGTGTCAATGTGTCTACTCTGAGGGATGAAGATTAGATGGAAATACTTCTTGCCGCTGCCTATATCAGCTATCTCTCGATCGTTGTAGTCAACTTCAACAAACGACAGACCCTGGAAACGTGCTGTTGGGATAAGTTGAAAGCTAAGGAAATTTGGTGTTAGCTGGGTGAGGTTTAGGGAGGAAAGAAGACGT